GTCGAATTTGCAGAGTGCGTTCGACTGGCCAAAGTCGCCGATCCTCTCAAGCGTGTTTTTGCACTTTTTGAGGGAGTTTGGAGGTGTGTCGTCGTCGTCGCTGGAGGACACGCGTGACGACGGCGTACTGCAATGAGGTTCGCGCCGTCAAGGTCACTGTGCTCCTGGATTTTGCACACATTTTTCGTATGCGCGTGCACTCGTTTTATCGATTTCCATCCCGCCTTTTGTGGGCTAGTGATTACCAGTTGGCTTTGCTAACACTGTCTGACAGTGTATACGGATTGGATTAAAAGTATCACAGGTTGTCTTGATAGTCTGGCGTCATTTTGCAGACGATGAGTGTGAACTTCATGCAAGACGTGTCACCTGACACTGTAGTGCTCATTTCTGGATTATTTGCCGTTATTGGCCAGCGCTAACCCGGGATTCGAGCACCGAGTCAGTTGGACATCTCAACGCTGCACTAACGGGCTTGTGTCATTTCGGTTAAGATCGGAAGTATTCGGCGACGTATTCGCCTAACTATCCTTGACCATAGGGCAGAGCTGAACATTCCTGTAGCTGAGATTCGACAGTCCCACACGCACGACGGATAGTAATCAATAACTGATAATTCATCTGACCCAGTTGGACCCGGAGTTCTCGGTGGCATTCGAACCCACGACAGCCTGAGTACTGTAACCGGTCTAACCGTGCTAAGTCTTAAAACCCTCCTATTTGACCCCCAATAAGAACGCAAGGCAGGGGTCTAAGGGGAAGATTTGGGATTATTTGGGAGGATGAGAAGACGGGTTGGAGTTCAGACAGGGTAGGGAACGCGGGAAGGTCCTTTGACGGGGACTGGTTGGACTGGAGACGGTCCCTGATCGATCCGGCAAGCGAGAGCGGCGAAGACGTGTGGAGGCGTCGGGCAGGTGTTCTCCGGTTCAAGGGTCCCGAGCATCAATTGTCCTCGGTATTTATGGGGCCTCCGGTCGAGCTGGTAGGATTAACGAACATACCAATAAGCAAGAGTAAGTATGGAGAATAAAAGGTAGGATAGCACAGAGGATTAGCCACTAGGCTGATCGAGGCCGCAGACTGCTATATATGTCAGTCTGGCAATGGCCAATAGGATCAAATTTCAGAGGTGACCAGCGTGGCGCCGTGGTGCCGATGGATAACCAGCAGCGCGCCAGGGGAGGTCTAGCATGACTAATCCGCAACCGGACAAACTGCTTCTACCTCCCTACAGTACAGCTGACGTTATAACCACCTGAGCTACGATGCCCCGCAGGAAGCCGTGAGTTTAACCGTAGTTGAGGTCGAGGACAAGGAGTTTTTAACTACTGGATCAAATGAATCATTCAGGTTTCCCAAAACACCAATTAATTAAGTATGTCTGGTAGTGGTCAAGTGAATTCTAGATTTGTTGTTCAGGAAATCCTGCTGGACAGTCAGCTTATCCTATCAGAATAGGTGGATTCCATAGGTTTCAGCAGGCTGATTGGGCAACTTGATCCAAATGTGATTATGCATACGACTCCCAGTAGGCATCGTAGCTCAGGTGGTTAAAGCGTTTTTTGAGAGAGAGAGAGAGAGAGAGAGAGAGAGAGAGAGAGAGAAAGAGAGAGAGAGAGAGAGAGAGGAATGCTTTATTTTGAAAATAACGCTCAAATCTTTCAGCAAAAAACGGTTCTCCAGTACACAGTAATTACCATAGAGATTCACAGGTATTGGGCAGTTGGACATAATTATGTATGAAGAAAAAAGGACTTTAAGGTGCAAGATCAAGTTTTAGCTTTTGTTTTTCAGCATCTTTGCAGATGAGATACCGGGCTAGAAATGGCAGTATGGAATTCTGATAAGCCGAAGTGCGACAAGGGATGTGGCGGAAGCATCGACGCATGAGGCGTAAGGATTTCGCAGCCATTAACTCATTATGAAGGGGATGGACGGTGTCATTCAGAATTCGGTCAGCAAATTGCTCCACCGTATTGAAGTGTCGCTGCACGATGATACCAACTAAAATATGATAGGAAACACCAGCAGCAGAGGCGAGCATTCGAATGACACGTTTAAATATAATTAGATCTTTTTTAAGTAAAGCTGGAAAAATAATTGGAGAACAATAAAGAATGAGTGGAAGTCATGCCCTTTCTGTCCTGGCTTCGAGTCCCAGGGAGGCCGCCGAGTTTTTTCACAAATGGGTCACATTTGCCAAAAAACACTAATTAATGATCAACTAACTCTTACAAGCAACCCCAGGGTACTTAACACTCGAGATTCGAACCCTCTGGACAACTGACCGACGCTTCGCTATAACAGGCCACATTATGCCGACTGAGATCAGAAATACGGCCAAAGCATCATTTATTGAATACTGCAAACTCCCAGCAGGTGTATGTGGTAGGGCCACTAACTGCCAGACTTTCCTTCTCGTTTCGTCGCAATAATGGACCTCTCTTTTTCTCCTATAGCCTTCTATCGAAACCTTTTTAGTTTAATGATATTTCAGTCTCGCCGAAATGCATGCTTATCATAGTGCATCTTTTAGCATACTTAAATCATAAAATTGACTGTCACAGTAGTTGCTCGGTTTGCTAAGTGTCTTTTCTCCAGTTTGCCGGAGGTAGATGATGTGAACCTCTTGATCTCTTTCGGGTATTTTAGCGTTTTTGTGCGTGAACTCGAGCCCGTTTCTAACAACGACGTCATTTCCCTTATTTATTCTCCGTCTACCATTTGAATACTTGAAAATAGATAGGCAGTTATTATTGTACGTTCCCACGTATGTTTTCCCATTTTTATTGGCACATTTTACCACATACTTTACATTTTTTGTTTGCCTCAGAAAATTATAACCTTCTGTTTTCCCCCAACCTTCGTACTATTTGTTTGAATCTCCCGTTTTCATCCCGCGCAACTTGACGCTGCCCGTCTGACTATACGCCATCTTTCTGACTGTACGCCTGGAGACATTTGGTTGTAAGTGTAACATTTAAATCTTGCTAATCATGCCAATTATAGAACCGTGTTTCCGTACAATTCTGCACTTATTTACATTTTTTCCACGTACGGACTGCACGAAGTAAGCCAACTCAGGCGACTGAATCTAGACAGGCTAGAGAGCAGCTAGGTTCAACAGACTCTGTGCGAGTAACGCGAACAGACAACAAATAGCAGTCGAAAGTACTCCAAAATTATGAGGTTATTTCTTTGGACATCGTAAGATAAATGTGTCTTCATTGGGGGAATTGCAACTACCGGATGTCTCAGTGACGGATCCGGCAGCCCTGGTCCGCCTGAGAGTTAGTAGAGTGCGTGACCGATCTCATGAAATTTTGGCCAAAATTCTGAAATGTGTTTCCGATTAGAAAGGATTGCTTAGATGGGGTTGTTTTACTGATTACCCTGCAGCATAACCCTATAAGATTTCGGACTCAACAGGATTTCGGCTTTTAAATGCACTTCTTTTTGACCTCCTACAAAGACTACACTCGGTAAAAAATGACTACTTAAGTAGCATGCATTTTTCCTATTGGTTTTCGATGGTCTTATAATTCCAAATGCATTTATAGAAATCATGCATAAAATATGCTTTCTTTCGCTCATTTTGAAGGAAATCACATCGTCTTCATATTTTATGCCCGAAGAAAGTGCATATTTAAGTTTTAAAAAGTTTCTAATTATGAGATTTTTAAGACCGTGCGATGTCCATGCGTGCAAGACCGCACACGTACGTTTACTAATGCTCCTCATGAAATATACAACAGAGTCCGGATCCATTGCAAAATTTCATGAACGCTATGTGTTATCTTCTTAGAGACATAGAGGAATATATGATTTTCATTAAACGGAAAGCGTGCACCTTGTAGAATGAAATTGCTAAACGCTGATGCAATGGCAGATCAGACCGAAAATTATTCGGTAATTGGGAAACTTTTTAGAAACCTAAATACACACTTCCATCGGGCATAAAATATGAGGACAATGTGATTTCCTTCCAAATGAGCAAAAGAAAGCCTATTTTGTGCATGTTTTCTATAAAATACACTTGAATTTATAAGACCATCGGAAATCAATAGGAAAAATGCATGTTACTTAAGTAGTCATTTTTTACCCAGTGTGTTTTCTGTAGGAGGTGGGAAAAAGTGCATTCAAAAGCCGACATACTGACGAGTCCGAAATGCTATAGGATTATTCCTTGCTGGCACCCAACTCTCACCTGTGGCTCCACGTAGCCGGGCTCTGCTCAGCTGTCACACCCCGGTCAACCGCCTCGACCGGCGGGCTAAACCAGGTGAGGTTATCCGTGTGTACACACGGTACTGTGGTCTGCGCTGGCCGCATGGATCTTCGCGGCGACATCGTCGAGACGAGGCTCTACCTGGACCATCGCGGGAGGCCACCAGGTAAGTGAATTCTCAGGTAAGTGAATTTTGCTCTGATTCCTTCCTTACTTGTCAGTTTTAATTCCGTGCTGTATGCTGCTCTTGTTGCCTGTTCTGTATCTGTTAGTCTGTGCCTCTCTCTCTCCTAATAGCTAGCTGTTACTGTGCTTGATTTCGAGCGTTACCCTTCTTTACTTGTCTCACTTGCCTTATTATCCGCCTACCTAATTCCCGTGCTGTCCGATGCTCTTGCTGCCTGCTCTGCATCTGTTAGTCTGTGCCTCTCTCTGCTAATAGCTAGGTGTCACTGTGCTTGACTTTGTATGATGCCCTGTTACTTCTGTCTCTGACTAAAGACTGTCTCTGCTTGTCCTAGCTGTAATTCCGATAGCGTTCTGTTGTGTGTATGCTCTCTTCTACTCAACTCCACCCCATCACCATCAAGGTCCCAGGCTACCTCGGGTCGTTCTCTCACTAACAAAAAGTCATGGCCCATAGTGGAGTTCGACAGCCGTCTGGGATATCCGGGCAGCCCGGTTCAGGGGGTGCGCTGCCTGCCCTCGCGAGGGAGAAAGAGCTAGAAAAGGTGCCCTAAAATGTGTTGGGAAACACGCTGTCCGTAGGATGGCCGTGGCCGCAGACAAAACACACACGGTCGAAACAGCCAAAACCGAAACAACACCAAACTCTCTCTTCTTCGTCCTGCCTATTCTCCTTCTTCCCTCCTTCTCCTTTTCGCCGCCGCAGTCGCCAGACTGGCAGGGTGAGCCCGTTCACTCTGGCAGCCTGGAATGTTCGTTCCCTTTTAGACAATCCGAGGAGCAACCGACCGGAACGGAGGACAGCGTTAATTGCCCGGGAACTGGCGCGCTACAAGGTGGACATCGCCGCACTCAGCGAGACTTCATTCTCCGAACAAGGCCTCCTGGAGGAGTTGGGTGCCGGTTACAACTTCTAGGGCGGTCGCCCAAGGGCAGAGCGACAAGACGCAGGTTTCACCTTCGCCATTACGAACGACATCGTGGGAGGACTGACTTGTTTGCCGCAGGGCATCAACGATCGCTGATGGGCCTCCGTCCGCATCTCCGGCGGGGGGGAGGGGGCAAATTCGCCACCATCATCAGAGCCTACGCTCCGCCGATGACCAGCCTCGACGCCGCAGGAGACAAATTCTACGAGGACCTGCACGCCCTCTTGGCGACTGTGTCGAAAGCGGGCAAGTTGATTTCCTTGGTGAGTTCAACGCCCGCGTCGGCACAGACCATGCTGCCTGGAGAGGAGTGCTGGGCCCCCATGCTCTCCACGATTCATTCAGATGGCACGTCAGCTGCATGACGGCATGATGGCACGATTCACGGACAACGGAGCTGTCTCAGAGGCATTCGCAGTGACCAAGGGAGTGAAGCAGGGATGCGTGCTGGCGCCTACCCTCTTCAGTCTGATGTTCTCTGCCATGCTGATGGACGCCTACCGTGATGAACGCCCCGGGATCCGCATCGCCTACAGGACGGACGGCCGCCTTCTGAATCAACGGCAGATGCACTTCCAATCACGCGTCTCCACAACCACCGTTCGCGAACTTCTCTTCGCCGACGACTGCGCCCTGAACACCACCTCGGTAGAGCAGATGCAACGGAGCATGGACCTCTTCTCTGCCGCCTGCGAGAACTTCGGTCTGGTCATCAACACGCAGGAGACGGTGGTCATGCACCAACTGTCACCAAACTCAGCCACCGCCCCCAACGCGCCGCCGCAAATCAGCGTGAACGGAACCCAACTGCAAGTGGAGGAGAACTTCCCGTACCTGGGCTGTACCCTCTCCCATAACACCAGAATCGTCGATGAAGTCGCTCAAAGGATCTAGAATGCCAGTCAAGCCTTCGGTCGCCTCCAAATCACAGTTTGGAATCGTCACGGCCTCCAACTGGGCACGAAGCTGAAGACGTACAAGGCGGTCATCCTGCTGACGCTGCTGTACGAAGTGGAGACTTGGACAGTGTACACAAAGCAGGAACGCCGACTGAACCACTTCCACCTCAGTTGTCTTCGTCGCATCCTGCGGCTGAACTGGCAGGATCGCATCCCTGACACTGATGTACTGAAACGGACGGGAATCCTCAGTATCTACACCATGCTGAGACATATGCAGCTGCGCTGGAGCGGCCACCTGGTGCGCATGGACGACGAACGACTACCCAAACGACTCTTCTACGGAAACGTCGCGACGGGTTCTCGTCGCCAAGGAGGCCAAATTCGTCGATACAAGGACACTCTGAAGTCCTCCCTGAAGCGTCTGCAAATTAACCCGACCAACTGGGAGGAGCTCGCACACGACCGACCGACCTGGAGGAGGACAGTGAAGACAGGCGCTGCGATATATGAAGCCAACCTCATAGCCGCCGCCAAAGTGAAACGTTAAGCACGCAAATCACAGCTACGCCCCGTCCGCAACGACGGCACACAACCGCTTCCCACACGTCCTCGATGTCAACGAACATTCCGGGCACGAATTGGACTTACTGGACACGTTCGGTTCGACCGCACCTCTCGGACCGCACAAACCATCGTCCCTCCGCCCGCCTCTTCCTCGTCCTCTCAGCCGTCAACTAACTCTAACTACTCTTCTGAACCACCCTTTCCATCCTCCTCTTCCCTCCTCCTGCTCTCCTTCCGCCTTATGCGGTTCCTCCTCGTCCTCGTCCACTGTCCCAACGACGGCCGCTTTGGCAGCCGTTACACACACCAGCATCGTACACATCCCCTGACACAACAACAGACCTCCGACTCCGGAGGTGAGGACCAGGACTACACCTGCCCTCACTGCGACCGCACCTTCACCTCACACACTGACCTGGTCGGTCACGTGCGAATCCATCGCACGGAGACTGGCGATGCTGGGCCTGGAGCACCAACCTTCGCTCATCGCAGTCTCCTCCACTGCCCACATTGCCCTCGCACTTCCACGCATCGCATGGGCCTCTTCGGCCACATGCACATCCACGACGACCTGCGGTAGACAACCACCGGCTACACCACACCATAACACCCTCCCGCCCTGCCTCCACCGCCACCACCACCACCACCACCACACACCAACACTCACCCACCGCAAGCACCCAACTGTCACCTCCCACGCAAGTGGGAAGTGTGCATCTCGACTCGGCCCCCATGCGGCTTCGGCTGCAGGGGTGACCTGAGTCTGAGACTATCCCGGCACGTCAAACGTCGTGGATAGGAAGGTTGCTGATTGACGCCCCCACTCGGTCCACGCAGTTCGTCCCGTTGTGTGTGTTGTGTCGAGTGACGGACTGATGGGCTGGAGACGAGCCGAAACAGCACCTTCGACAGCCCTCTCACGCAATTGAGAGACACGACGTTCAACCATCGTTGTGTGAAATCCTGGTCTATGTGTGTGTGTGTGTCCAGGGGGCCATGTCGTGCAGGCGGCGCACGTAGGCATGGTCAGTCGACCGTGCCAGCCACCGCGTCCATTCCCCACTCCAGTCTGCTGACCGGCTCGGATAGAGGCTGAGGTGTGGAAATGGGAAGGGGGAGTGAGGTCGACGTCTCAGCGCACTTCCTCCTCACTAAAAACAATCTGGCGCATTGGAAGCTATCATGATGAGCTAAAAGCCGTGGCTTGGAAGGTTGCCAACTGACGGGATAACTTGGACCTCCTCCTCGACTGGCAGTGGTCTGAGAGTCACGCTGCAGTGGCTCCTTTTTAATGTGGCTTCTGTGACACTTCCACTGTGTGAGATCCGAGCCAGGCGTTGGCGGCACGCCTAAGTGCGGCTGCTTCGGCCGTGCCAGCCTCCAATCATTGCTGTGTTGGTGAAAATCCTGGTCATTTGTGTGTGGACCAGGGGGTGCGGAGTGGAGCGCCAAGGCGAGGATCCGTCCGAGCCATCCACCTGCGGTCTCCCCCGTCTCCGGTCTTCTTGACTTAGTCTTGACATCGTGCTCAGGCGGGGGAGGAGGAGAGAGTGTAGGTAGATGCTACGCAATTGCGCAATAATTTACCGTACTAACAACACAGGTATTAGCTAAAAGCCCAGCTGATGGATTTCAGCTCAAATATTCATATCAAATTTCGGACCGTGCCTGAAAAGGCCTGTTTCGAAAGAGTTACTCCAAGTTCGCGCATTAATTTCCTCGGAAATTAAGCAAGGCAAGATGCTACGCAAGTCTACTGGCACTATAAACCCCTGCGTAAGTCACTGTCCCTGCTCCACAATGCAGTCTGCGGGGCACACGGTGGACGTCGTCGAAATCGACGGTCGAACTGTCGTGTGTGTGTGTGTGTGTGTGTGTGTGTGTGTGTGTGTGTGTGTGTGTGACATTCTTGTTCGTTAGCTAGCGTGAGACGAGATATATCTTCCTATTTTCAGGTTTACTATTCCTTTCTCAATGATGGTCTGACCTGCCAGTAGCCAGACTCAAGTGACGTGGGTTGAAACAGCGCGATGTTTAAAGTAGTATATTTTACCCCTCCGCAGTTCCGTTAAATCCTGTGAATAGCGTCCGTTTTTTGCCGACTGGCAGCTAGCCTGCCGAGATCTGATGGTCGGCCACCCGAAGACTCCCGAACCACAAGTCAGGGAGGACAAAGGTATTGAACAAGCCTTACTGAAACAGAGCGCGTGTGCAGGTGGCTCAGCTAGCAGTCACAGTAAGTCTTCTCTCCAGGCCAGTGACAGCCGTCGAGGTTGTTGGACCCAGGCGCGTGTGTGCCCCCGGTTCTGTTCACCGGCAGCCAATCAGCGAGAGATGCAGCCTCGGCTGGCCCCAAGCTCTCGCCACACGAGTGTCAAGTCATTCGTGGCTCCTATAGAGCACTGACGGGGAAGCTGCGTGAGTAGGCGGCCGCGCCGACAGTCGCAGGAGCAGACTGTCACAGTCGTCGGAAAACGGTTAGATCGCGGTTGGTAACCAGGAATGGGGGAGGCGGACATCCAGGCCCCTGTCGTACGGGAATGGTGGGAAAAGGGGGATATATGGGTGGAGTAAATGGAAGGACTGGTAGAGGAATGTTGGATTTTCTGGGTAAAAGTAAAGTTACCAGGGAAAGTGCCGGGAAGTTTTAAGTAGGTGGAATAAAGGCAGAAATTTAAACCCTACGCTAAACCCTAAACTTCAACTCTGACCGCAACCGAAAAGCCTAACCCCAAGCCTCAAAACCGAAACGTAACCAAAATCCTAAAACCCAAAGCTAATCCAAAACCTAGCCAGAACCCTAACCATGACCTTAAAGCCTATCTCTAACCCTAACCTTAAAGCTAACCCTATCCTTAAGTCTAACCCTAACCTTAACCGCAACCCTAATCTTAACCCTGAATCTAACCTAAGCCGTAACCCTAACGGGAACCTAAACCCTATCACTGAAACCTGACCCTAAAACGCAAAGCCTAATCCTAAAACTTAGCCTACGCCTAACTCTAACCCTCACTAAACCCAACAGTCTGACCGAAACGGGCGACCTGCCTGACTCAGTAAGAGCACACCTACTGATAACAGAGTCCCTAGACAAGGTAAGCACACGTACTGATAACAAGAACGTACGTCGACAGTAGCACCGTATAATGTCTGGCTACCAACTGTAATCTTACCCGGAAAACTGCCGTTTCTGGCCTGTGTACTACTCCACTCTCCCGGTTACTTATCGTGTCGCTGCAACTAATTGAGATGGAAAGGAAGCTGTGAATTTTGACAGACAAGGAATGAAACAACCACTGCATCCTAAAAATACTGGAACCCCTGTGCAACGCAGTACCCTTATCCGATTCTCTGTCTGGGAATGTTTTCCAGTGCGAATCCGAAGCGTCAAGCCGTCTTCGAATACATCAGCAACACTTGACATTGCGCGAAGGTATACCCACGCAGGCTTTAGTCTCGCGTTTTTGCCGAGATGTTAGCTGGTCGCAAATTTTTTCCGGAATATCGCACTTTGAACTTGTGTGCTCCCCCGGGCCCCAGAATGCTCCATGCCGATGAGTCAACGGCACCCAGAAAGCGAGCGTCCTTCAGTGCTATTTGCCAACACGTCCTCGCCCGAGTAAACGGAATAATTATTCACACTGGAGCAGTACAAACACCGCCCTGATTTGCATTGCAGATCAAAGTATTTCCGCCTCTGACAGGAAGGGTGTGGCAGGGTGGTTACTCGGTTGAGATCTACGTCACTGAAGGACTAAGTGCGAAGGCTCTGTGACGCCAGACAAATGGCATGTACTAGTTTAAACTGAAAATAGTGCCAATAATGAGCTTCTTTGTGTGCATCCACAACCTTACTTTGTCTGTCTGCATATGAAGAAGGAGACACGATCGCTGGGACAAGAGCTTTATTAGCCTGACGTTTCGGATTCCTGCGCGGATCCATCATCATAGACAAAAGCAGATACGGGTGGTCCATGCACAAGGGGCTGCAGTATTTATAGGATTCAGTCATCATGCTACCGCATACATATAAACATTCACGGCTCCGCCCTTCATCAGGGATCGTCGCACTTGGTGTGCTAATTGTTTGATGGCCGACATTCCCAGCGACCGTGTCTTCTTCTTTAAGACTACTTCCTGGGACTCGTCTCTTCGCTTCTATTGGTCGGCATATGGTTGCGCACAAACTGACACTGCAGAAGGACAAACACCTGGCTTCACTTATCAAGAATTAACATTATTTGGAAAAGCAAAACCAACGTCGACCGAACACCGGAGCCGGCATTTTAGTCGTCTGCGTTTTCAAACGATTGAAAAAGGCATAAAGTGGATGGTGTAATTCTTGTCTCATCGCCCGTCAACTGTTTGCATCCTTGTCTTGCAAGGAGGTAGCCGGCAGCCATTACGACTATGTCTGGGGTCCTTGTTCAGAGTGCCGCGGAGTCAAAGTCGTTACTTACTTGTACTTGATACGGCTGCGATCATGCCTGACCTAGCCAGCCTCGATGATGTCCCGAACTGTACCTCTCCAAGAGTGACGATCCGCGGCAGCATATCTGGACAGCTCAACCCATCCCCTTCGCCAACGACGTAGACCGAATACCGAAGGTCCAAGAAGCACCTCCATGTCTTGACGAACTATGTCGAGCCAGGTTTTGAACTGACCCCCTCTTCGACGCCTCCAATGGGTCGACGGTGCGGATCGAGAGCAGTAACACAGAGCTCATGAGGTGGACGACGAAGAATATGGCCGAACCACCTCAGTCGTCTTTCTTGGATGGCCTGAGTTATCCTTGCTATGTTGTCGCAGCGAGCGCAGACTGTCTCATTTGAGACGAAGTCGGTGAACTTCACTCGAAGGATGGTCCTCAAGCAGTGGTGGTCAAATACCTCCACTTTTCGCTCGTGCTCCAAGCGCAAAGCCAAGCGTTCACAACCATAGAGATGGACAGACTGAACAGCTGCACGGTACACGTGAATCTTAGTGCTGATGGAGATGTCGCGTCAGATCCACAGGTATTGCCTAAGGCCTGAGAAGACCCGTTGGGCAGCATCGATTCGGGAGGCAATGTCGTCCTGACTCTGTCCATTCGGCAGCAGCCGCGCCCCGAGGTATTTGAAACTATCCACTTCTTCATGTTGACAGCCATCAATCCCGAGGGGTGCCTTCTCCTGGTCAGGGATACAGCTTGAGAACACTTTGGTCTTCCCAGCGTTTATGGATAAACCGACCGATTTAGTGACCTCGTTCACCCGTGACACTATTGACTGCAGATCATCAAAAATTGAAGCAAGTAAGGCGATATCATCGGCATAGTCGAGATCAGTCAGTTGGTGTCCGGGTGTAAACTTAACGCCGTTACTCTCGAGTAGGGCCCCCCCGAGGATCCAGTCAATAGCGTAGTTGAACAGTATGGGTGACAGGATACAACCCTGTCGAACGCCAGACCGAATACCGAACGGTTGGGAAAGATTGTTGCGGACCAGGACTCTGGCAGTAGTGGAGCGATAATAGGCCTTGATCATGGCGATAATTTTTTCCGGTACACCATCTAGCGCCATTATCCGCCACAGGGACTCACGGTGAACGGAATCGAACGCGACGGCAAAGTCAATGAAGAAGACGGCCGTCGGTTGTTGGTAGCTATGGCGAAATTCGAGAATGCGCCTCAGTATGAATATCTGGTCTGCGCATCCACGTCCAGCACGGAATCCGGCTCGGTTGGGCCTCGTCCTTGAGTCACGCACAGCCTGGAATCGCCTGAGTAGGACAAAAGCGAAGATCTTCGCAGTAACGTTGATGAAACTTATGCCGCGGTAGTTCTCGCATCTCGTCTTATCTCCCTTCTTGAGGATAAGTACAAGGATGCCTAAGCCCCAGTCATCAGGAACAACCTTGTCTCTCCACGCTCGTTCAGTCAGCTCATGGAGCCAGGGCGCCAGAGCGTCGACACAAGACTTGAAGATTTCAGCTGGTATACCGTCCTCTCCGGGTGCCTTATTGTTGCGCAACTTTCGTACGGCATCGGTGACTTCTCCCTCAGGGGCGGGGATCGCATGGCACTGCATAGGTAGGAGAGGGAAGAAACTCCGCCGATGAGGAGAGCAAGGGCGAGGAAGGTTGCGTATCGAAGTTGAGCTGGTGCTCAAAGTGCTCACGCCAGCGCTCGACTTTAGCCGAGTTATCAGCAATAAAGCCTCCGTTCACATCGCGAACAGAGTCTCTCAGTGTAGAGGGCTTACCGCTTATCGCAGCGAGCGAGACCAGACGCACAGATATTCAGCCACTCGGCCGAATTCGACCCGGACGCGCATACGTCCTCCACAGAGTCGCAAGCGTCAGTGCGCGGCCTGAATTAACACACACCAATTGGACACTACGTCAGATTGCTCCAAAAACCCTCAGAAGCAGCTACTACGACTAACCCACGGACTTTGGGGGTATGGATGGACGCAGTAAACACCAGCCCCAGCTTCGCCAGCGACCATCGCCGCCCGAGAGGTCAACTCGGATTTTATATATAACGAAATCCTCATTCTGGTGACTTCTGTTTTTTTTCCTACAACTGTAGATTCGGCCTGACGGTTGTAGTGCTCTGAGCACTCACGTCCACATTGTTTAAACGCTACAAACAATCTAATAGCGGGGCCGTGGCCGAATGAAGTTGCAAGTTTACGGAATTCCGACCAGTCGTCTAGGCCTGTTTTCGTGTTTATATTTATGCCATCAAGATCTAGATCGTGGAGAGTTCTGTGGTAGGTCTGTTAGTTGAGGCAGTGTCTCACTCCCATACCCTTATCTCGAGTTCGTGCAGTTGATTTTGGTCTTCCCCATATCTAACTCGCACAGTTACACAGACAATTTCGGCAAGAAATCTGCTAAACAAAGTCAAGTTTACTGCGCTTGAATTCGATTGGTATCAGAAATGGCTGTCTGCCATTGGCAAATGAGTAATACTGATCAATAACAAGGACTGAGATCGAGTGTCAGTGCGCACTGAACAGGCACTAAGGGCAAGCCGCCCCTATTGGCCAGTTTTTGACCAGTAGTGGAAGAACTCCCTGTGTGCCAATACGTGAAGTAAACTGGCACAAGATAGAGGCCCCAAAAGAGTCTCTAGCGATGCAAAATCGCAAGCTTTAGACAGTCTGTTTCATTGGAAGCAGAGTAAAAAATAAAAATAATGGAGTGAAAAAATGAAGGCAAAGTGGTCTCGTTCACACATGAGATGAAAAATCCTTAATTTACTTGACTACATTGCGAAAATTCCATGGAATTGGAATCCACGACATCAAAGATAAGGTTTACTACAGTCAACGCCCTAATCACCTGTTCTACGATGGCCCAACGGGAGCCGTGAGTCTAATCACATTTGAGTCAAGTTGCCCGCCCAGCTTACTGCGACATATGAATACACCATTTCTGATACAATTAGCTGACTGTCTAAGCGGTATTTCCTACGCAATCAATCATTAAAGGATACGGACTTCTGGGCCAAGTGATTTATTAAATCTGCCAAAAAACCTATTAAGTAAATGAGCCTAGACGTCATCTGGTGGATTCTAGATCTGACTGCTTAAAAAATCCTACTTGGGCGGTCAGAATACTGTGTCAGAACTGGTAGATTCGTACGTTGCAGTAGGGTGGGCGGATAACTGAACCGAAAAGTGGTTAAACTCAGTGAAGCACTGTAGCTCAGGCGGTTAGAGCGTTGATTGTATTCAAGCCATGTTTTTGCTGTCACCGGTTCGAGTCCAACCAAAAATCCCGAATTTGTAACAGGTGAGTTAAATAAATTAATCGAATCTCCCGTAGCATCTGTTAAAAATTCACAAAACAAATAAGAAGATTATCCGAAAATTTACGAGTCTACTTGTTACTATTTCGGGCTTTTGATCGTATCACATCGTCAGACAAAGTGAATGGAAGGGAGTTTTGTTCGCTCTCCAGGGGGTAGGAAGTCGTGAAAAGGCCGTGATACGCTTCCGCGGGGTGCGAATTTAGGAGGGAGAATGAGGGCTAGTTGCTGTGGTTGGAAGGATAAAAGACGATTATGCGGACGTCACTCCCATTCTCATCCTTACATCCGCCTTTGACGTTGCACATCGTTGCTTCCCGACTCAATTTCCTGATAACAACTGGGCAGCTTGAAAATCCCATCTCTGCGGATGTTTCGACCGAAAAAGTTGCCGACGGAGGAAACACAGGGGATATGCGGAAATTCAAGAAAGATCGACTTGTGCCGTCATGCATGCATAAAAATAAAAACGGTCACTTACTAACCGTCAGACCGAAGAGCACTCTTTGTTTTTCGGTCTTTTTACAAAGAAGCTTCCGATATTTATATTATGAGGCCATTTAAGTACTGTGCCAGGGAATGAATTTTTTACGGACAGACTACGTTGACTACGCTTTCATAGAAATGTATGGCAAATTTACATTTTGGCGGGCGTCTTCCAGGAAAAAGCGCCCTTTTAAAACTATTTTTTGGAAATTCTTGGATGGTTTTGTGGCAAAGATAATTAAAATAATCATTTATTTAGAGGCCATAGATTGCGATGGTATTTGCTAATAAGACGTGTCGATTTCTTAAAAGAGCTCTTAGGTTTTTACTTGCTGCGATGCGGTTCATTTCAATCGGAGGAGCACTGATCTTCGGCAATTATTGTTAACTGATAGAATTATTCAGAAAAAAAACAGGACAAAAACAATCATTTCTAGTCTTTTGTAGGGAAGAATGTCTTCACGAAAGTTGCTAGGCAATGGACTTGCCTATCTGTCCATCGCAGAATCTCAGTACTATATAATTGCTGATAGAAGCGAAGAGACGAGTAATAGGAAGTAATCTTGAAGAAAGAGAAACGATCGCTGGGACAAGAGCTTTATTAGCCTGACGTTTCGGATTCCTTCTCTAACCCATCATCAGAGACAATTGCTGAACCTGTCAGTGGGTCTTTAGAGAGAGAGAGAGATTATTTACACAGATAGGCATCCCACTTTCAGATATTGGCGAGGTTTGGTTCTGCAGCCCCGCTTGATTCGTACCACATGGTTAGCTTCGTAAAACAAGCCTAGTATATGCGAGTACTCTGACTTTACAAATATCACTTATTTGCACCTTCCTTGCCATTTTAATACAACGAGTGATTGTGCCACGGGCGGAGGAATGCTTATACGCCAGCCTCGGTTACTTCAGGTATCAGTTCATACGCGCTTCCCTGCGCGTGCTTCGAGCCCCGCTTGCGCCCTCTTTATTATTCTAATCCAGCGGATGGCTAAGTAGACTTGCCAATGGAATTGTTAGGATGGGTCGGAACTCCGTCGATTCCGCTACAGTGTCCATGCACTGTTAATTACCACGCGGTCCCCTCTGTGGCCCTCCAGCTGTGACTGCATCCTCCTTATCCTACTAATCCGGTAAGTGACTGTGTCGCGGTGAGAGGTGTGTACATACCACCTTCACACGCGTTTCCCAGCGCGTGCTTCGAGCTCTGCTTGCGCTCTCATTCCCTTCCTAATCCAACGAGTGGCTGAATTCGGTATATCAGTGAGTGTTGTTTTAGTAAGCTAGCCATATGCCATGAATCAAGTGGGGCTGCAGAACTAAACCTCGCCCCGATATTAATTGTGAGGAAGACATTATTCTCTAAAAAAAACCTACTGGGAGAAAAATAATTACTGACCGTTAATAGGGGAAAAAAGGATTTACAATAGTATTTCGAAGAAGAATGAGTCCTTTGGGAAAACGAACAAACTTAATTTCGTAAATTTTCGAGTCTGGTTCCCCAGCTCGTCTTCAGACGTGTAGTAAGTGTGAAGAAACAGTCAAAATTTAAACAATGCCCAAAAAATCGATATTGCTCTGTCATGGCTGAGGATGGGTTAATGCTGTGGGCTGATGTCACATCTTGATTGGCTATTACCTTTCCCATTTTTCCTTCAGATATGTGTACACGGCGTCAAGATCGATGCGTCGATTGATACATGAATCATCAGAATGAATGACCTCTAGGAATTCTCGGCTTTCCTTATGTGGGCAGGAACCGACAATGCGTGTTTTATCCCAAGCGAATTTGTGCCCAGTTTCAAGGGTATGCATGGCGACTTGGGATAAGTGGTCCCGTCTCTTCACTGCCAATTGGTGTTCATGTAGGCGTGTAGAGGCGGATTTTCCGGTTTGACCACAATACACTGCATTAAAAGTGCCACATGGAATCTTATAGACTACTTCTTTTTTATCCAACTAGCCAACCCTATCCTTAGGGTGTACAAGCTGATTGCGTAGCGTGGTAGTCGGTTTGCGAGCCATTCGTATTCGGTGCCTTCTCAGGTGTCTTTCAACGAGTTCCGACACATTTTTTATGTAGGGAAGCGTTCGCCAATGTTTTGGTTTTGGCGTCTGATCGGAACAATCTAGTTCCTTCTCTCTTTCTTTTGATTCCTGCTCTTTCGTGCATCGACGTACAAAATCTCTAGGGTTGCCGTTTTGGGAAAATAGGTTGAACAGATAATTGAGTTCTTCTTTGTACCCTTCGTTCTCAGAGCAATGTGTCTTTGTCCGATTAAATAGGGTGTTAACAGCACTCCGTTTATGAGCCATAGGGTGATTGCTCTCGTAATGTAAGATAACTTCCGCTTAAGTTTCTTTGAGGTATACTGATGTCTGGAATGTCCTGTCAGTTTTTCTCTGTAAGAGGACATCAAGAAATTGGAGTTTGCTGTAAACTTCTCTTTCGAGCGTGAAGGTTATTCCCGGTAGGGTTGAGTTGATAGCGTTATGCAGCGTTTCTAGCTGATCTCTCTTGACGATGACAAAGGTGTCATCTACGTAGCGTACCCACAATTTAGGATTGAATAATGGTAAGGCCATAACCTCTAATTTTTGCATTGTGTCCTCAGCCAGAAAGCCAGAAATAAGTGACCCCATAGGAGCTCCTTTCAGCTGTCGATAATATTCATGTATGAACGAGAATTTCGTTTCCAGACATAGGTCCAAGAGTTCAAGCAAAGCAGATGCAGGATGTTGTAGGATTTTAAGAGTTCTTCTGTGCACTGCCTTGCCAAATCG